TCGCGGAGATCTTTCAACAGCAGCTGCACGTCCTTGACGTCCGACAGCATGTCACCGCCGCCGTAGCTGAGCAGCAGCGGCAGGTGGTGTGGAATGTTGGGCATGTGGTACTCGGGTGGGCTGCTCTGCCCATACGCGACCATGTTGGCCATACTGCTCCCGTAGTCGTATTTTGTTATCACTCCACTTCTGATCGCTGTGAGTGGTCAAAGAAAGTTTTACATACTCTATCGTGAGAAAGAAATCTAAGTAGCTCAAGTATATGAATGATATTTTGGATTTGTATCAGACTGACTGACTCTGTAAAAAATGGACGAGTGTCCTCACGGATGTCGGCTGGAGTTCATACTTCAAGTACATGTCAACAGTGGAGTAATTGAGGCAGCAGTTTGGCCCTACATCCAAAGTGAGTGTGTGTGTGTGTGTGAGTGCAGAATAAGGAAGGAAAAAAGCCATTACACATATGTAAATTAATTGAAAGACTACAATAATAAATACATATATGATTAAAGTCAAATCAAACATATGTTGCGGGCGGAATAATTTGTGCGTACCTGTGAATGATGCCATAAGGTCGTAGCAGTTCACCCCCGGCATAGCGCAGACGAACTCCAAATAATTGGTTCCGACTGCCCTGCTTATCCATTAGGGAAGACAGTTGAATTAGAAGGAAGAGCTTTAACGATAACATCACTCAATGTATGGTCGGTCGGTGATGTCGATAAGGCCTCTGATGCTTTTGTCAGCACATTTTCTTTTGACAACAACGAGAGGGATATGTTAGTTTACGTACCCTTTAGGATCAAATTCTCCCACTCCAACTGCTCCCAACATCTGCAAGAAAAAGCAAGAAAGCTATGACACACCTCTGGACGTAGGTAAATTAGAAGAAGATAATGTGATGTAGCTCCCTCCCTCCCTCCCTCCCTTGATGACAGAAACATTCAAAGAGTGTTGTGAACTCGTTCTTACTTCTCCTGAGAATGCGCTGCCTGCAGCTCTTCCGATTGGAGTTGTCATGTAAGTCAGATAGGCCACCGGAGTCAAAAGGGCAGCTGACTTGATCTTATCCACCAGCTTCCCCTCGGAGAATGCTGATAGAGCTGTCAGAGTTCCCTGTAGCATCATCCAACGTCAGTCAGTTGTTGTAGTTGTAGTGGTGGCAGTAAGTAGCAGAACATACATGCAAAGTAATTCAAAGTGGAAGGAAGAATGACATGTTTGGCATTAAAGTACGTAAAGTCTCCTACCATGGAGTGACCAACGTAGTGCAGCTTCTGCCCAGTTTGCTGGAATACAAAACCCACCGTGGCAGGCAAATCAAAGCTGGCCAACTCATCCCATGACCACGCCCAATAAGCCTGCGAGACAACAACAGGATGATGAACCTGCTCAAGACTTCATAATCAGCATTGTCGAGAAGATGACCAACCGGGTTTGATGTATCGAGAGACTCATGGCGACGGCTCCACCTGGTGCCCCTGCCGTGTGTGATCCAGACATCGAATCCGTTGTCTGCAAGTACGAAAGCCAGTGATTGTTGAGGTGGATTCAGAAGCCATGTCATCCCGTCCTGCCATCATTCATCCATCATGCGTCAATCATCAGAAGAAGAATGACGAAGACGACAACACCTGTACTGTACGTACATGCATGCATGGCAACACATGCAGATTGCTCGAGGAAACGTACCATGAGGACTCCATGTTGGAGCAGCACAGGCTGCCTCTTCCCCGCGCTGCCGCCTCCTCGTCCTTGTGGGATCCTGTGCATGGTCAGTATGTACCCATCTTGCGTCTTCACCTGCAAGGGACGCAACGCAGCAAGCTTCAACCACTCATGCCATGCCCGCATCAATCATCCATCCATCCATCCACATTTATCTGCACTCGGCTACCTCATATTCTTGGCACTCATAACCCTGAGGGCTCACCACGGCGGTGCACACGCCGTCATCCGGAGGCTCGAGGCTCTGCAGCAGCTGCCGTCGTCCGTGAGCTCCGGCCAGCTCGCAATGGAAGCCCATGGAGAGGACGAAGGTGATGACGAGAAGCCAGCAACGGAATCCCATGTTGGAGGTAAGCCAAGGATGAGATCACCTACTTCACCAAGGATTGGCCCTGTTATAGTGAGGAGGGTGAGGAGGAAGTCGGTGAAGGATGATACCTCGTTCATGGCCTTCTTATAGGGCGGAGGAGGAGGAAGGAGATGGAGAGGGTGATCTGTGCAGGCAGTCGAAGGGTGGTGATGCGTGATCTTCGCTACTTGTTACTGACATTGTTATGGCCTTTCACAACTGCATGTAACTGTACAAAAGTTGAAAAATAGATTGTTGTTGTGTGCAATACAAGAAGTCGAACTAAATTTAAACTCTTCACCTCTAATCTAAATGACATGCCGTTTAAAAAGGCCCGCATAACATATTATTAGGCAAATTCATGCAAACATAATAGAAGAACATTGAGATCACGGAAAATGTCACAAGAGATTGTGTCTTCCGAATGAAAATAAAAGATACTATTGGTAATGGATCACGTTGACTCTCTAATTTTAGCATTGAACCATTTGTTTCTTTTTATTCAAAGCTTTTTATCGGTGATAGGGCGATGATATTCCTACCTAGTGATCATGTATAGTGTATGCCTTGGGTGTCATGATAGGGTCTGTCATGTATGCCTTGATGATAGGATAGGAAACCTTATGCCTCAATGATATGATATATCATGTATGTCTTGCTATGTACTAGGCCTAATATAGCATATGCTCTGAATGTCACGAGCAGGTATCAAGCGGATCCAGGCTTGGAGTACTGGAAAGCAGTAAAGTGTATCCTTAAGTACTTGAGAAGAACGATTTTTTATTGGTATATGAAGGTAATAGCCATAAGGTTGAAGGCTACACGGACTCGAGTTTCTAGTCCGATATCAATGATAGCAAGTCGAATTTGGGATATATGTACACCATAAATGGAGAAATAATATGCTGGAAGAGTTCAAGCAAGATACTATTGCTGACTCGACTACAGAGGCGGAATACATCGTTGTGGCAGAGACAACAAAGGAGAGAGTTTGGATGAAGACATTTATAATAGATCGGACAGTCGTGCCAAGCAACAAGGAGCCTATTCCCGTATATTGTGACAACAACGGGGCGATTGCTCAAGCGAAAGAACCAAGTCTCATCAGAAGTCTAAGCACGTTCTAAGGAGGTTCCACCCGATCAGAGAGAAAGTGAGCCGAGGAGATGTAGTAGTGGAAAGAATTATATCCGAAGATAATATTGTAAATCCATTGACAAAACCGTTGTCACATATTGTCTTTAAGCGTCACAAGGGTCTGATGGGGATCAAACACATAGGTGATCGACTTTAGGTCAAGTGGGAGATTACTAGCCATAGGTGCCCTAGAAGCCAATTACGTGAGTGATGACACGTATAACTTGACACGCAGCCTTTTTGCTTAATATTATTATTTGATATTTTATCACTTTATATTATTTGTAGCTTGAATATATTGTGATGTCCATGAATTTATATAATGGGAATCAGATCGTGATGAGATCACGATAATGAGATCGATTCACCTTTAAACATAGATCCTAAATAATCCCGGTCATAGGTTGCTCGAGACAGACATTGAGATAACCGGATAGGCTAGTGTGCTGTATACCCATCTATATGATGGATGCAGCTGGTCTTATAGCTACTCGTGTGGGGACACTAAGGATACATTACAGGTGCTCATTTGAGAATGAGTTCATTAATTGATCTGCTTACGGAATGCTAGATGGTTGATGATGTCTTATTGTCAGACACCGATTCCGTAGTCCTAGTGGTGCTTTTGGTCCTTAAACTTAAGGCACCAAGAATGTCCTGTATGAAGATTTTATTCTTTTATACCAGACTTATAGGTCTGGAGGTTCCAAATCTAGCACAATCGCTCATCGGGAGTGGTAGCCAACCTTACGGGGACAATTGAGTGTTAATAGAGGATTATCCACTCTCGGTATTATTAGAAGAATATCTCATGTGTTCTGACTTAGACAAATCCCTAGCTAGGATAATTCGAATTGAAAGAGAAAAAGTTCTTCGAGAGAATTCGATTAGAGCGAGACTCAAGTAGAAACTGTATGGGTCTGATAACACCATGCCCGGTATACAATCTTTGGGATATTAGATGGATGAGAGACTATATGTATACGGTAACCGACGATAGACTGGTCCAATGGATTGGATTCCCCTATATCGTCTAGGGACTGCTACGTAGTGGCATAGTACATCCACAGTCGATGAATTGAGTGAATTATTATGGAGATAATAATTCACTGAGCCAGAAGGAGTTTTGACATGTATGATTCATGACCAACTTGATATTGGGCCTAGAAGGTCACACACATATGGTAGGCGTTGCAATGAGTAGAGGTTCGGATATGAGATATCCGCCGGAACTCATATCTTATTAGATATCCAATAAGCCCATGAATTATTGATTCTATAGATGAGATCTAATAAGAGCCTATGAGAGATTATTTAATAGAGATCTAATAATCTAAGGGGCTTGGATAGTCGGATGAAGATCCAATACCTAATAGGGCAAGATCCATTAGGGTTAAGTTGATAGAGGACCTCTATAAATAGGAGGGAACTAGTGGTTCATGAGCTAGAGCCTTTTTGGTTACCTCTCCTATTCTCCTCCCCTTCTCCTCATTAGAGCAAGCTTAGAGTTTTGAGGGGCATCGTCGTAGCCCTACTTTGTGGATCACCACTATAAAGGAGGTCGCTTGACCTCCTTCACTCTCTCCTAAAGATCTATAGGGATTCAGGGATATATGATCTCTCTAGGTAACATAATCTTTCGTATATGCAGTTTTCAGTTTTTGCGTATCAATCTTCGCACGACGACGAACACATATTTGGGAATTTGAAGATTTTATTTTTCTGTTCTTGTGCTGTATATGTGATGTCGTCCTCAGATTTCTTTACGGTCAGTTTCCTATAAATACATGTATACTTGTAAAGAATAAAAAAAAATTGAAAGTGAATTTTAATAAAACAACTACATTATTTTTTTACAACAAAGAACAGAAATGTCAATTTATTTATTTTAATCATATATTATTATAGTATCATAAGAATACTTTTCACAAAGTTAAGTTATATTATTCTATGAGATTTTTAATGAGATTTTAAACCTTTAAATCACACATAAAAACATTATCGATATAAGATAAGAATTATTTGACTATGAGAAAGGAAGCATTCGTTTAGAATCTTAGAAGACTAAAGGTCGATAAATAAAGAATATATAAAAAAAACAGCTAAACATTTGCTTGGTTTAGTATTTTTTATTAACATCTTCGAAAGAAAATTAAAATTTTCATTATCGTATTAAAATTACTAAGGTATTCTACTGTGTCTAAATCTCATGAATATTGTCGACTCTGTGGCCCAATGGATAAGGCGCTGGTCTACGGAACCAGAGATTCTGGGTTCGATCCCCAGCAGAGTCGATGAAATCAATTTAAGTTATTAATTTTTTTTAGTGAAAATACATCTATTTTTGGATTAAATTAAATATATTTTTTATTTAAATAAAAGCTGGCTTCTTACCTGGCCATATAGATTCATGGTGTGGCAGCAACATGATTTGAAACGAGTGCTAGTTTGGTTTGATCATCTTCGATTATGATTATTCTTCTTCCACTTCTTCAGGAAGAGTTTAGGATGATCCTTCTAATATTTCTCCCGTGTATGACCTGTAATCTTATAGTGAACACAAAACAAATACATTAAAATAAGTATCAAAATTGATCTATCAATTAGTTTAATACATTAGCACTGATCGAGCCTTGGCAGGTGGGTATGTTGATGTGAAACACGATACGAAAGGGTCGACTCCTTGCTGCAATGTTTCGCTTAGCAATGTATTATTTGCAATGTTTCTTGCTTGGGACTGCCGTAACCAGCTTTCGTGGTGGCTACCCA